ATTTCTTCTTGCTTGTAATGTCTGATAATGCAGCGTTTGTGAGTGGAGCTCTGCTTTGTGTACAGCGTTACCGGGGAAACCTCGATCTCTACTACTCCAACAGCGCCTCCTGCTGGCAGAGAATGAGTTTGCATATATATGCTGCCACAAATAGAATGAAAGTCTGTGGGAAACACTGTAATGTTATTTATGCAATTTGTAAGTGCAAATTATAATTAATTATACTTGTCTCTTTAAAAATAAAAAATTAAGCCATTTAGCCAATGTAACTTTTAGCATAGCCTATTTTATTTTAAGTGTATCTCGTGTATTCTGATACATGCATTAATGTTTCTGGGCTAAGCCCCGGATATCCACTCACTGTAGAACTGCCCCTTTGCTCACTTTGCTCTACTGATTGAGAATGCATTGTAAAAAATGGAGCTTTAATAATTTGAATATGATGGATTATCAACTAATTATGTACCTTCCTTGTAGGTGCGTTCAGATGTAGTATATAACCTTTTTTTATTAACGTCAAAGTGCATACAACACCAACAAGTTTGACAGTCAAGGCAAATTCTGTAAACACTGCTTTGATAAATAATGTTTTTTTTTTTCTTGTGCTTGCAGGTTCATTCAGACGGTCAACATTTGTGGCACCAAATGCATTGAAAGTCACAGATCAGCTGGAATTTTGGAAAGAGGGTGCAGCCTGAATCCCATCCTGCTGTTTCTCATCGGAGAGCTTGTCAACTTTTACTGTCAAAATGACTGAAATTTAACACAACACCACAAACTCATTTTTACTGTATTTTATTTACACTACCAGTCAAAAGTTATTGAACAGTAAGATTTTTAATGTTTCTTAAATTTTAAAATGTAATTTATTCCTGTGATCAAAGCTGAATTTTAGGATCATTAGGATCATTACATGATCCTTCAGAAATGATTCTAACAGTCTGATTTGCTGCTCAGAAAACTATTATTATCATTATTATTGTTTTTATTATGTTGAAAACAACGGAGTATAATTTTTTCAGGTTTCTTTGATAAATAGAAAGTTCAGAAGAACAGCATTTATCTGAAATATAAATCTTTTGTAACATTCTAAATGTCTTTATCATCACTTTTGATCAATTTAAAGC